GAGTACTTGGGGGACTTTCCAGCTACCTTTATGTTATTTCCAGTTTAATTCCACTGTGGCCTAAGAGCATCCACTGTGATTTCTATTCTTTTAAATTCATTAAGGTTTGTTTCATGGCCCAAGATCTGGTGTTTCTTGGCGATGGTCCCGTGTGCACTTGAGAGGAATCTGTGTGCTGCTGTCTTTGGATGACGTCGTCCATAGTTGTGAATTATATCCAGTTATGGATCGTACTGTTGAGTTCATTTATCTTCTTACTCACTTTTTGCCTCCAGCATCTGTCATTTCTGATAGAGGTATATTGAAGTCTCTAACTTAAATAGAGGATTCATCCATTTTTCGATGCCGTCGTATCAGTTTTTGTCTCTATCATGTGGACTCTGTTGTTAGGCGCACACGCACTAAGGGTTATGTCTTCTTGGAGAATTGATGCCTTTATCATCATGTCATGCCTCTCTTTATCTCTGAGAATTTTCCTTCCTCTGAAATCTGCTCTGTGTGAAATACAGCTACTCAAGTTTCGTGTGTTTTTCGTTTTTCTTTTTTTTTTTTTTTTTACCGGCTGTGTTGGGTCTTCGTTGCTGTGTGCAGGCTTTCTCTAGTTGAGGTGAGCGGGGGCTGCTCTTTGTTGCAGTGCACGGGCTTCTTACTGCGGTGGCTTCTCTTGTAGCAGAGCACGGGCTCCAGGCATGCGGGCTTCAGTAGTTGTGGCACGCGGGCTCTAGAGTACAGGCTCAGTAGTTGTGGTGTACAGGCTTAGCTGCTCCACGGCATGTGGCATCTTCCAGGACCAGGGCACGAACCCATGGCCCCTGCATTGGCAGGGGGATTCTTAACCACTGCACCACCAGGGAAGCCCCTGCCCTCTCCTGTTTATCACCAAAGGGTGTTTGGTGTAATTTTGCTTCTTTCGAACTTTTAATCAATGGGTATTCCCAGTAATACACTACTGATATCATATTGAAAATGTTTTCTGTCTTTGCCCAGTCTGTTTCACGCAAGCTGGTATCTGAACCTGTGAGTCATCTGATTAACTCATCCATTTGCTCTTGGGGCCTCTGTTGTTTCAAGAGTGTGTGTGTGTTCAGCAGTGCAATTGCAGTCTTGTTTTTATCCTTTTTTTTTTTTTTTTTTTTTTCGGCTGTGCTGCGCAGCTTGTGGGATCTTACTTCTCCGATCAGGGATCAAACCTGGGCCCCCTGCAGTGGAAGTGTGAAGTCTTAACCACTTGACCGCCAGGGAAGTCCCAATTGTTTTTATCCTTAACTGCAAATACATCAGAAATTTTCTTCACGTTGGGGAGAAATCGGTGCATTGAAGATTATGCATCTACAGGTCCCTCAGGGATTTCACACTGTGGCAGTGCCACCTGGGGAGTCGACATCCGAATTGAGCTTGACCTTCATGGCAGAGATGTGGTGCTCCTACCTGTTGGCCTTGAGAATGGGGCCAGAAGCCTGGGATCAAAGGACTGACCCTCACCCATGTTGACATTCTCCAAGATGAGGGGCCACTTACCCTGGCTTCACAGCAAATGAACAGCAGTAGAGAAAACGAGGAGAAAGGATATTACCAGTTCTAACTTTAAAAGGAAGTAAGCCACCGGGAAAGGAAGTGAAAAAACCTAACGCTACAGAAAAGACATCGTTTCCACTCTCTTGGTCTTCCTGCAACTGTCGTCATGTGTTTTACTTCTAGATATATACTAGCCCTCCAATATATCGGCGTTTTATTGAAATAATCAAGTATTTCTCAGACTGAAATGACAAAAAAATGAAAAACCATCTAAGCTTTTTTTTTTTTTTTTTGGGGGCTGTGTTGGGTCTTCATTGCTGCGCGTGGGCCTTCTTTAGTTGTGGCGAGCGGGGGCTACTCTTTGTTGCGGTGAGCAGGCTTCTCACTGGTGGCTTCTCGTTGCGGAGCATGGGCTCTAGGCGCACAGGCTTCAGTAGTTGTGGGTCGCGGGCTCTAGAGCTCAGTCTCAGTAGTTGTGGTGCATGGGCTTAGTTGCCCTGCGGCATCCGGTATCCTGGTTCCCTGACCAGGGATCAAATCTGTGTCCCCTGCATTGGATGGAAGATTCTTAACTAGTGCACCACCAGAGAAGTCCTCCACCTTATATCTATGTCCATGTATCTACACATCCAGAACCTTCCAAGCTTTTGTACAGATCTCCCATTCTAGCTGATGTCCTGTCTCTTCTGCCTGAAAGACTTCCTTTCCCTTTTCTGGCAGTGCCAGTTTGCTGGGAATGGATTCTTTCAGCATTTGTGTGTCTGACTCAGTTGCCGTAGTGTAGAAAGGTGTTTCCTCTCAGTATAGACATTTTCTGTGACATACAGTTTTGCTCTGAGCATTTTAAGTATGTTACAGCAATGTATTTGCACTGGCATTATTTCCAGTGAGAACTCATGTGTCAACCTTCTGTTTGTTCATCTGTGTATTGTGTGTTGTTTTTCTCTGGGTGCTTTGAAGAGATTCTCTTCATTTCTGGTGTTTGTTTTGTTTTGCCTCACTGCATGGCTTGTGGGATCTTAGTTCCCTGGCCAGGGTTGGAACCCAGGCCCTGGGCAGTGAAAGCATGGAGTGCTAACCACCGTACAGCTGGGGAATTCCCTCGTCTCTGGTGTTGAGAAATACAGTTATGACAAGCCTTGGTGTAGATTTCTTTGTTTCCTGTGCTTGGTGATTGTCAGCCTTCTTAGATATGGGCTTTATATTTTTCATTCACTTTGAAACATTCTCAGCAATAATTTTGATTTTTATAGATAGAAGATTTTCTTCTAGCTTCCTTCTCTCATTTGGGAATCTAGTTACATGTGTAGTTAGTTGTTAGGGGTCCTTTCACAGCTCACAGATGCTCTCTACGTTTTTTGATACTTTATTGCAGAGTTCACATCTTTGCAGTAAAGACCCATCCTTTTATGTTCACATCTCTTTTTTCTGCAGTATTTTATCTGCTTTTAATGCCATGCAGAATGTGTGTGTGTGTGTGTGTGTGTGTGTGTGTGTGTGTGTGTAATTTAGTTATTTTTGGCTGCGTTGGGTCTTTGTTGCTGCATGCGGGCTTTCTCTAGTTGTGGCGAGCGGGGGCTACTCTTCGTTGCGGTGCACGGGCTTCTCATTGCGGTGGCCTCTCTTGTTGCAGAGCACAGGCTGTAGGTGTGCGGGCTCAGTAGTGGTGGCTCGTGGGCTCTAGAGTGCAGGCTCAGTAGTTGTGGCGCACGGGCTTAGCTGCTCCGCGGCATGTGGGATCTTCCCGGACCCGGGCTCGAACCCGGTCCCCTTCATTGGCAGGCGGATTCTTAACCACTGCACCACCAGGCAAGTCCCTCCATTCAGTATATTTTTCATCGAAGATGTCATAGTTTCCGTGTCCTGATGTTTGATTTGGGTCTTTTAAAATAATATCTCCATTTCTCTATATAAGGTTTTTGTCATATAGAACAGGGGTCCCCAACCCGCGGGCCTGTTAGGAGCCGGGCCGCACAGCAGGAGGTGAGTGGTGGGCCAGCAAGCGAAGCATCATCTGCCGGTCCCCATTGCTCACGTTACCGCCCGAACCCTCCCCCCTCCCCCCATCCGTGGAAAAACTGTCTTCCACAAAACCGGTTCCTGGTGCCAGAAAGGTTGGGGATCACTGATATAGAAGACAATTATAAAAGTTCCTTCTCTAAGTTTAACATGGTGTCCGTGCTGGGGTGTCTCATCATCATGAGTCTTGCATTTCAACCTTTTAAAAATTTTTATTTCTTTTTTGGCCACACCTGGAGGCACATGAGATCTTAGTTCCCCGATCAGGGATGGAAACCATGCCCCCTGCAGTAGAAGCGCGGAGTCTTAACCACTGGACCGCCAGGGAAGTCCCTACATTTCAGCTTTTTCGAATGCCTTATATTTGATCAGATGCCAGACATTATGAACTTTACCTTGACGGGTGTTTGGTATTTTCATATTCCTGTCAATATTTGATGGATCTGAATTCAGAGAATCCTGCTAACTTCTTTTGGGCCTTGGGTTCAGTGTCAAGAGCTTTGCGCTTCTCCCTCACAGTCAGTTTACACAAAACTTCACACTTACGTCCAAACTAAAAATTCTCCAAGATAACATTCCGATTGGAAAAATAGGCCTGTGTTCTTTTTTATTTTTTAATTTATTATTTTTTATTTTATTTATTATTGGCTGCGTTGAGTCTTTGTTGCTGTGCGCAGGCTTTCTCTAGGTGCGGCGAGTGGGGGCTAGGGTGCAGGGTAGGCCTGTGTTCTCTTAATGGCCTAGTGTTCTTCCAGAAAGATGGCCAGTCAAGACTGGTGGTGGCCGTTCTAATTTCTCTCTGGGTTTCTGACGGTTTGGAAGGTGCATTAAAAAGAATACCAGCTCCCCAGTCCTTCAGTGTTTTCCCATTGTTAACCACCTCTGTAGATCTGATGCTTGTCTCATGTGCCGATAGCCGTGTTGGGCAAGGAAAAGGGAGATAAAATAGTTGTTTCATTTGAAATGGGTGATCTTGATGCAGACGTGGTTCATTTCTAGAGCATTTCTGTCATTTCTTCATAGTGCACATGGGGACAAAATAAACCAGGAATGGTCACAAAGTAACTGCTGGGGAAATAAGTTCAGGATGTCAGAGGTGCTTGGGGAATTCCCTGGCAGTCCAGTGCTTAAGACTCCATGCGTCCACTTGAGGGGGCGTGGGTTCAATCTGTGGTCGGGGAACTAGGATCTTGCATGCTGCCGTGGCTTGGCAAAAAAAGAAAGAAAAAAAATGTCACAGGTGCTGTTAGATCTTCGGGATGTGATGAGATCAGTGAACAAGAGGACTCTGGATAGAGTGGAGAGGTCTGACTCCTAAGGCTTAGATTTGAAGCTGGAGGACGACAGAGCCCTGGGTGAACGTAGTATGATTGAGTGCAGTTCCCCTGGGCTGTGAGCTGCACCAGCCTTCCTGCTTGTACTGGAGGACGTGGGTTTGTTGCTCTAACATATGTGTCCTGTTTCAGGACTCGGTGGTCTCTGAGGATGTGGCTGCGGACTTCACCTGGGCAGAGTGGGCTTTGCTAAGTCCTGTTCAGAGGAACTCTACAGAGATGTGAGGCTTCGAGCCTTCAGGAACTTGGCCTCAGCAGGTAGGGGTGGCATCATTCCTTCACTTGTCCTTTTAGAGAACAACCTATCTTACTCTGTTGACCTTGTTCCAAGATTAGGGCTGAGAAGCGGGCACACGTTAGCAGACACACAGACGTGGTCAGAGGCCTCATGGAGTCTTGAGACTAATGAACAGCTTTACTGTGAAAACAAAGATCTGCTTAAACTTCTTTTAAGATGTTTGAAGCTGACTTTTTAAAAGAATATTTTTTTGGCTGCACTGGGTCTTAGTTGCGGCACACGGGATCTTCGTTGCCACGTGTGAGATCTTCCTTGCAGCATGCGGTTATCTAGTTCCCCCACCAGGGATCGAACCCGGGCCCCCCCTGCATTGGGAGCGTGGAGCCTTAACCACTGGACCACCAGGAAGTCCCTAAGCTGACTTCTTATTTCTCTCTTGAGGCTCCTTAAACTGATAAGCGAGCATAGTTTTCAAATGTTGGGTTGGGGCACCCTTATCCGAGGATTACTATGCTTAAAACACACTGCAGCATCAAAAACATGAACAGTCACAAATATTGGGAAATGTGTCGTTATAAAAATCGTGAAAAACTATCATCATTAATGATTATGAATTTTTAAAAATATTTATTTATTTATTTTTGGCTGCGTTGGATCTTTGTTGCGGTGTGTGGGCTTCTCATTGCCGTGGCTTCTTTAGTTGCGGAGCATGGGCTCTAGGTGCGCGGACTTCAGTAGTTGTGGCTCGCGGGCTCAGTAGTTATGGCTTACGGGCTCTAGAACGCAGGCTCGGTAGTTGTGGCATGTGGGCTCAGTTGCTCCGCGGCATGTGGGCTCTTCCCAGACCAGGGCTGGAATCCGTGTCCCCTGCTTTGGCAGGTGGATGCTTAAACCCTGTGCCACCAGGGAAGCCCGATTATGAATTGTTAATGTACTTCGTCCATATGTGGGACAACAGTGCTGTAGATGATCAGTGGGGAGAAACCAAAGCGAGACTACAGTCTTACTGTGAAACAAAGACACGCTGCTGGAGTCGAATCCTACAAATGTACCGAGTGCTGGGGGGCTTCAGTGGATACCCAAGTCTAGAGCCCCGCCTTCAGTGTGAGGCTGGGCAGACGGGTCTCGTATCTAAGCGCTGATGTGAGATCTCACGCTGTAGACAAAACCTATCCGTGTCAGGAATGTGGGACGGCCTTTCCTTTTCTCTCCTCTTCAGAAACATGTCTCCCTGGTAAATGCCACGTGAGGAATGTGGCAGAACTCTACCGTCACTCATCTTTTCAGACATGGGAGTGGTCACAAGTGAGCAGAAAACCTATGAAGGGAAAGAACATGGCAAGGTTCTTACTTATTGCTGTGTCCTTAGAAGACCCGTGACTACTCATAATGGAATAAAGTCTTGGGAATATAAGGAATGCGGGGAAGGCTCTCGTCGTCATTACACGATATATAAAAGCACTCACCTTGTAAGTGTGAGACGTGGGAGAACCTTTATTCCTTCCTCACACCCAGCAGCACAGTTACGGTGGAATAGCGTCCGCTTACTGACTGCAGTGAGTCCACGAGGAGCCGTGTGTTCGCTCGGGAGGACGGTGTGAGAGACCTGATCAGGGGATCTCGCTCCGTGTTCGCCAGGTTTGTGGAAGGAGCAAGGAAGCAGGATTTGTGGATTGGACGTACTCATAGGGTAGTGTATGGAAAGGATTTTAGGAATTCTCACCTACAGAGCTGGAAAAATGGAGTGGAGCTAACTTGTAATTGGGGAAAGTGGAGAAAGTTCCTCCAAATATTGATACAATAGGTTTGAGAGCTGGTCTTATTTTTGGTTTGGGCAATACTTTTTGTGTTTTTAGACATGACTGTGCAGTGGCCTTCTGGGTGTTCTCCATCCCCATCAGAGCGGTAGTGTGGTTTTATGCCCCACGGATTGTTTAACAGAACCCGCCGACCATTCAGTGAGCACCGGCAGTATGTGCCAGGACAGCTGTTGGGCTGTCAGGCAGCCCGTTCTTTTGTCCACAAGCAGATGAAGTCCAGCTTCAAGACCCTACTGTGTGGTACCCAGAACTTTATTACAGATTTTGTCCAGAGAATGTCTGTACTTGGAATAGGATTAGTCTCGCCTGCCTTTTTTTTTTTTTTTTTGATGCAAAATGATCAGATGACTCCTCTGATGCGACAATGGCTGTGCAGTTGCATTTATTTATTTCTTCCTTTTTGCGGTACGCGGGCCTCTCACTGTTGTGGCCTCTCCCGTTGCGGAGCACAGGCTCCGGACGCGCAGGCTCAGCGGCCATGGCTCACGGGCCCAGCTGCTCTGCGGCATGTGGGATCTTCCCGGACCGGGTCACGAACCTGTGTCCCCTGCATCGGCAGGCGGACTCTCAACCACTTTGCCACCGGGGAAGCCCTGCATTTATTTTTTTAAAATATTTATTTGGCTGCACTGGGTCTTAGTTGCGGCACATGCGATCTTTATTAGTTGTGGCACACGGGATCTTTAGTTGTGACATGTGGGCTCTTAGTTGTCACATGCGGGATCTAGTTCCGTGACCAGGGATCGAACTCGGGTCCCCTGCATTGGGAGCGTGGAGTCTTAACCACTGGACCACCAGGGAAGTCCCTGCAGTGGCATTTAAACCTCTAAACAGAGTAGGGCAACTGTAACACAGAAATTTCCTAGAAATAAAAATGTTTTTTCCCCGAAGACAGGGTCCTAGGTTACCAAACACAGTCAATGGAAATATCCCCAAATCTAGACGGTCTTTTGCAAAGATCTGCATGGCTTTGTAAAAAAATCGAGATGAAATTCACAAACCTACAGCTAACCGTTTAATAATATACAATTTGGTCCGTTCACTGTGTTGTGCAACCACCGTCTCTAATGTGAAAGCCTCTTCCTCACGCCAGGACACCCTGTGCCCTTTAAGCAGTGGCTCCCTATTTCCCCTGTAGCCTTCCTGGCAAGCGCTCATCTACTCTCTGCCTGTATGGATTTGCCCGTTCTGGTGATTTTTTATAAAAGCAGTCACACGGGGACTTCCCTGGTGGTCCAGTGGTTAAGACTCTCCCTGCAGGGGGTGCAGGTTGGACCCCTGGTTGGGGAACCAAGTTCCCACGTGCCATGCTGCGTGGCCACCCCCCCCCCACACAAAAAAACCCAGTCACACAATATGTGATCATTTGGGTCTGGTGTTTACTCAGCGTAATGTTTTGTGGCTCATGCACGTTGCAACCTGTGTCAGCACCTCTTTCCTTTTTATGGCAGCGTGTGATTCCACTGTGTCTGTGTGCACCACAGTTTGCCTATCCATTCGTACGTTGATAGATATTGGGGTTTCCACCTTTTGGTTGTGGAAGAAAACCCCTGCTGCTCTGAGCATCCGTGTACAAGTTTCCGTGTGCACCTAAGTATTCATCTCTGTGAGGCGGATACCTGTGAGTGGAGTTGCTGGGTCCTGTGGTGATTCTTTGACTTTCTGAGGTACTGCCAAACTGTTTTCCATAGTGGCTGCACCTGCACCATTTACATTCCCATCAGCAGTGCACAAGGTTTCCTATTTCTCCACATCTTTTGGGAAAACCTGTGTTTTATTTTTTTTAAATTATAATCCCCATAGTGGGTATGCCGTGACAGCCTAAGTGACCAATGATGTTGAACTTCTACTCGTGTATTTGCTGACTATGTATCTTCATTAGACAAATGTCTGTTCAAGTCTGTTGCCCATTTTTGAAAACTAGGTTGCCTTGCTGAAAGAGTTCTTTATATTCCGGGTACTAAACGCTTCTCAGATCAAGGACATTTGAACAAAAGGAAATGTATGGATCTTGTTATATCCCTGTAGTGATCATTAGGGAAGCTGACTGCTGCTCGTGGTTATTTGAATATGGTAAACGCAGGTTGTTTATTTTTAGGTGTGATAATGGACTTCGGATTATGTTTTTTAAAAAACATATATTCCCTAATATTCATGGATTAAATGGTATATCTGAGAGTTTCTTCAAAATTATGTGGAGAAATGAGTAGAAATAAAAATTGAAAAGTGTTGTAGGAAAGTAATGGATATATACAGTTTTATTGTCTTTTCGCATCCTTCTAAAAACGATTTTTTAAAATCATAGATACACATAAAATTTACCATCTTAACCATTTTAAGTGGTATTAAATACATTCACATTGTTGTGCAACCATCATAGTCCAAGCCCATAACTCTTCATCTTGTAAAACTGAAACAGTAACTCCTACTCCCTCCCCCCAGCCCCTGCAACCACCATTCTACTGTCTTTATGAGATGTGACTCCATACCTCCTATAAGTAGAATCATACAGTATTTGTCACTCGTGATTAGCTGATTCCATGAACATAATGCCCTCAAGGTTCATGCATGTTGTAGCGCAGTAAAGAAGTTCCTTCCTTTTATTCCAGTGTAGATGGACCACACTTTGTGTATCCATTCACTCTTTGAACACTTACATTGCTTTACATATTTTAACGATTGTGAATCATGCTGCCATGGACATGGGTAAACAAGCATCTTGGAGACCCTACTTTCAGTACTTTAAGGGTATATACCCAGAAGTGGAATTGCGGGAGAATATGGTAATTCTTTCAGTTTTCTGAGGAACTACCATACTGTTTCCACAACTGCTTTACATCTTACATCCCTACCAGCAGTGCACAAGGATTCCAGTTTTTCCACATCCTTGTCCATACTTGCTTTCTGGGTTTTTTTTTTTTTTTTTTTTGATAACAGCCATCCTAATGTGTGTGAGGTGATACCTTATTGTAGTTTTGGTTTGCATTTCCCTAATGATTAGTGATTCTGAGCATCTTTTCATGTGCTTATTGGCCACTCGTATGTTTCTTTTTTTTTCTTCTTTTTATTCAATATGAATTTTTATTAACACACATTTTTCAAAGTCTGTACAAATCAAAACATTCCTGTGTTTTAAAAGGTCCATTATTACAAACATACAAATAAACAAAAGGTGTTACCAAAAGTTAGCTACTCAATTT